TCTCTCTCTCTCTCTCTCTCTCTCTCTCTCTCAACACATTTCTCCTACTTATGAATATGTAAATGATTGCACATCTCATGCCATGTGTTTATTTTGTTACTCGATTAACAAAATAACCATTATTTGATAATAACATATAGTTTTGGTAAATAAATATTTAGATAAATATCTATTTTTGTTCTTTATTTGATTAATTATAATAAAACAATAATGTGTTTTATAAATTATTTTTATATTAAATCTCTCTCTCTCCCTTAATAAATATCTAAACATATTGTAATAACTTATTGTAAATAATAACAAGTTGTAAAAACTTTCTATTCAAACTTTACATCAATTGCTATTAACGCTAAAATCCAATTATACTATAATTTTAGATACATTTCATTGTTGTACAAAATTATAAGAATATTACAGTTATTTACGATAAAAATCTGTATAAGATTTTTCGTAGAATAAAAGTCTGAACTATTTTTGTGATCCTTTTGTTAACAAATTACTCTATTTTAAGGCAAATGTAAGAAAACTGAGTTATTCTTCAAAAGTGTTTAATCTATGTTTAAAATCTTCAAACTTTATGTTCACAAGAAAAAGCATTATTTGTTTTGTTTCATATATTTTTATGCTAAACAAACACATTCATTTCATTACATTCTCTCTCTCTCTCTCTCTCTCTCTCTCTCGCCTCTCTTTCCTCTAACATTACATTTGAATTAATGTTTAAAAATAGGTTTTATTTTTAAAAGTAATAAATTTTGAGAACAAAATTCCTCTTCACTAACAGTCNTCTCTCTCTCTCTCTCTCTCTCTCTCTCTCTCTCTCTCTCTCTCTCCCCTAAAATAATACACAGAATAAATCAACAATGTCTTGATAGATATTGTAAACTACATCAAAAAACCAATAGTAATATATACGTTTTCATGCATTTATCTTGATAAACATATTTGTGCAGAATTCAACCATCATAAAACTCAGAATATAAATTTAAAATTCACATATATTTATTTTCTACACCAAATAAATGTTTTATTATTCAACAGAATTCAATATTCACAGAGCGTTACCAAACATTTGTCGCTATAAATAGGAAATGGTTTATAAACTAAAAATTAATTACCCGTCCAATAGTGTGTTATCTCTATAGTCTGTCTCTATTTTATTAATTTACATTATTCATTGTACCGAACGGTATAATGTACTGTATATGCGGTTGTGTTTTATGGCATGATGGTTATGTTGTCAATATAAATTGTATTGCCATTCATATTAACGCTTTATTACACTATTTTCCACTGTATTATCTCATACTTCTCTCCATCACTCCCTCCCTCTCTCGCCTCTCTTTCCTCTAACATTACATTTGAATTAATGTTTAAAAATAGGTTTTATTTTTAAAAGTAATAAATTTTGAGAACAAAATTCCTCTTCACTAACAGTCTATTCATTGACTGTCGACTCAAAGAAATATAATATTTCTTAAATACATGTAAACATTGCTGTCATTCAGACTTCATAAATAAGTTATCAAATCTAATAAAGTTGTCTAAAATGCATATAGTTTGTGGTTTTTGCTCTCAATCTTATACTCATTATTGTATTTTTGGAAATTACACAAGCACATTTACACACATGTGTCATCATAGTGTTTTGATAAATGTCAATTTATAAATACACAAAAAAACTAAATGATTTTTAATAATATTTTTACGGATGCAATAAATATTATCACGTAAATTAATGTACATAAAGTTCTACTTGTATTTAATATAAAAATATAAAAATATTATTTTAATAAAAAAAAGTCCTGTCATTTTATTATTTATTTGCAAAATATTATAATTCAATATTTGATATTTATTTTAAGATGTTTCTGATATCAAAATTAGTATATTTATAAAGTAGAAATTTTAATAAATAAATAAATATTTAATATAATGTGTTAATCAATAAATTGGTTATTTGTAGCGCTTATAATAAAAATCACTGTAAATATACCCCATAATTCATCATCCAGTGATGCACAATCATCCATATAATCCAGTTTTATACTTTTACCCCTGGTCAATTTCATACGACGGTCTTTACAATACATATTCCAAAATAAGATAAATAATTAATTTCTGCAAATTATAATTTGAAATTTCTATAAAATAATATTTTTTAAAGAAACCTAGATTCTTTATAAATAATACTTTAAAATGTCATTATAATAATAAATTAATATGTATTGTAAAAACCAGTTGTTGGCGGCGGTGTCTGAATATTGGTATTTAGCCCAGGGTTCTTTTGTGAGGCCACTAGTGTTATATTGGGTCTCATAGAGAATCGTCTTCCTTCGGGCGTTGGAGTGATTGAACGGAATATACCGCTACCGGTGGGGGTGGGAGTGGGCGGCGGTGGGGGCGACTCAGTGGTGGGGCTTTCCATTATGGACTCCATTATGTGAACGGACCTGTTATCCGGGTTTATATCATTGTTGACATGAAATTGATCCATAAGTGTGTTATTCTCACAACTGATTTACATATAATTTTCGGCACAGATTGAAACAACTGATAAAGTAATACATTAATGCTTTTGTTTTGTTTTGTTGGCATTAAATCTCAACAAACACTTTAGATACACAACACATTACATATAGTGAACAATTAATACACACTTTAATAGTGTCTGTATTTTTACATTCATTCAAATTTAGATATTTATATGATTTAAGACACGACTTGCAAGAAGTGTGTTGTGCTGTGTTTCAAGTGTTTTTGTTCATCACATCTTACATACAATAATATAAGTAAATATAAATTTCTCTGAGATTTCTCTCTCAAAATTATAATACGAAATAATATTCTGTGTAATTAGTGTAAGAATTTGTTGTCATTTAAACTCGTTTCGCGAACTCAAGTGTTGTATATTTAAGTGCATTTTTCTGTATATAAAAGTTTTTGTTGTTTAGATCTATATATATTTGGCTTATGTAATGATACAGTCATCTCAACGATGTTATAGTTCACTACTTATAGTGAAGTCCCTATACTGTAAACATGGCTTATTTTATTACCGATTTTTAATAATAGACCAAAATTATAAGAAAATTTTATATCGCTATAAAACCTATAACAAGTGAAGGTTTGTGTTTCACTATAAGCTATATATTGAATAATTTGTGTTTAGTTTATTATACAGAGGTATTGAGTGAATGAAAAATTGGCATAAGTTTTAGACAACAAATTCTTTGTATAATAAGATCTATTATACACTATATTTGAGTATAATTTATACGAGTTGTAAGAAATGGCATCAAATGAGAGAGAGAGAGAGAGAGAACAATTATTTATGGTAGTTTAAAATAATAAAAGTAATCAATAAGCATTCAACAATAAACCATGATAAAATAATTTAAAATAGAATTTTATCTACATTAATAAATTCTAACTTATAGCTCGTTGTAATTTTATAGTCTCATCTGGTTTTCCTATATATTAATATAAGCTTTTAAATATATTTAGCATAAAATCTCTTACAAGAAAGTAATATATTCAAAACAGTGAGAAATTGGCCTCAATTTCGTACAACAATTCCCATAAAACACATACAAACACATCAAAATTCGTGCGCTTGCGCTTAAAATAAACATGTGCGATTTTTCAGTTAACAGTGATTTAATTGTGGATTTAATTAAAAATCACGACAAATTAGTGTCTGTTTTGGACTCGAAGTCACGTAAGACTATACATATCGTCGAAGTAAAGCAAATGATCAATGATTTAATCAATGTATTCATTGATGGTGTGAAAGACCTGAACTCAGATTTTGATGCCATATGTGTTGTAAACAACACTAATGCTATCAATGAAGACAATGACACTATCGATAACAATGATGAAGACATTTCTGGTGATCAGACCTCCAGTTCTCCGCAAATAAATGTCTCAATCAAATCACTTGAAGAGAAATTGGATAAAAAATTTGATAAAAAATTTCATAAATTGGAAAAAATGATTCAATCGATTGGAGGACTCAATAATCGCAATCATAACCGCTTTCATAATCGCAATCATAACCACAATTATAATCGCAATCATAACCACAACTATGACCGACAGACGCGCCTCTCAACTGCTAAACAGTGCTATAATTGTCAAAAGTTTGGTCACATATCAAGAAACTGTTGGTTCAATAATAACGAAAATAGGAGTAAAATGCGTCAAAATTCTGGCAATTATTCAGTTATACCACAATATTATCAACAGAACGGACAGCAAAACGGATATCAAACCCATAATAATAGGAATCACCGTTTTTTAGGACATCCCATACCTCATCAATATGTGACACAAATGCAAACCCAGTCAAGTCAAGTGCCAACAGGACCTCCAACTCAACATCTAATGCAATAAAAACGGTTTTAAAGTCTAAATTAAATAATATTAAGATATTTTTCGGGAATACTCGTAGCGTTGCCAACAAAATCAATGAGTTAAATGCACACCTCATACAATATGATATAGATATTTGTGTGTTAAATGAAACATGGCTAACGGATTCAATACCTGACAAATACATATTAAATGATTATATATTATTTCGAAAGGATAGGGAATCAAGAGGTGGAGGAGTATTGATTGCAATCAAAAGTGATTTAAAGTGTTCCCAAATATCTGTCAACTCTACTAATGAAGAAATCTATGTCCAGGTATTTGTCAATAACTGTAAATTAATTGTGGGTACGATTTATAGACCACCAAATGTTTTCATTAATTTTGAAACACATTTCAAATCTTTATTTAAAAATATGAAATATAATATTAACGATAAATTCCTACTTTTTGGCGATTTTAACAGTAATTTTATCAAAAACAATGTGTTTTCAAGTTATGTAAATGTTTTGAAACAAACACTACTTTATTATGGTTTTAATCAAATTGTAGACAAACCCACATATCCTTCAGATAATCCAAAAAGTATTTTAGATTTAATTTTTACCAATAATTTAGATATAATTAATGAGTTAAAAGTTGTGCCAAATATAGCCAACACTTGTGATCACAAGGGATTGTGTTTAGACATACAAATTGTTCGTCAATTATCTCAACCAAAAGTTATTGAAAAGTTTAATTTTGATGAAAATTCAATTGAAAAACTCAATACAGAGTTGTTTAACACGGATTGGTTTGAAATTACAAACAATTTGAATGACATAAATAGTATCTATGAATGTATTAAGTTTAAATATAATAATATTTTTCAATCTAATATTTCAAAATCAACAAAAGTAATAAAACATATGAAAAAATATAACAATTTTATAAGACGTCTAATTACTAAACGTAGAAATTTAGTCAAATATAAGTCAATATCACCTGATTTTATGAAAAAACACAATATATTAACCAAAACTATTGGAAAAGAGATTGAAAAATATGAAACAGATTTCACTAATAATCTAATCAATAAATCCGATAATTTCTACTCTTTTTATAAACAAATGAAATCATTAACAAAAAGTCCACAAATATTATCATTTAATGATGAAAATGATGTAAACATTAGTGAAAATGCAATTATTTTAGAAAAGTTTAAATTGATTTTTGAGTCGAAATTTTCTTCAAATATCGGTTCAAATGATATTAATTTTGATTTTCAATGTATTGAGAATTTGCCTGAAATTCAGATATCAATTAATGATATAATAAATGCTTTAAATAAATTCAATGCAAAGAAATCTGAGGGCAATACTTTTGTTAAAAATATAGTAATTAAACGATGTCTAAACGGTGTTTCAAAAATGTTATTGTGTTTATTCAATAATATGATAAAATTTTTGAAAATCCCGAATGAACTGAAACTATCCCTCGTTTCCCCGGTACCTAAAGTTAATAAAAATAAAAACTTATTCACATCTTATAGAGCAGTATCGGTGTCTCCAAACATATATAAGATATTTGAAACAATTATATTAACAAAAATTTCACCGTTTATTGAAGTAAACCAAATAATACCTAATTCTCAATACGGATATCGAAAGCATATAAGTATGGCTGACATTCATATCGATATTCAGAAACAAATATTTGATGCCTTAAATGATAAACAGGTTATAGCTATTGACTTGATTTTTCTAGATTTAAGTGATGCCTTCGATACTGTTCCTCATAACAGATTAATTAGTAAATTACGTGAATATAAATTTTCTGATCAATTTTTAACATTAATTACCGATATGTTTAGTAATAGGACTCAAAGAGTTAAGTATAACAATTGTATGTCTGATGATATTCAAGTTAGTTCTGGTGTAATCCAGGGTTCGGCAATATCTCAGGATTTATTCAGTATATATTTATCTGATTTAATACTTGGCATCAATTCATCTATTTATCAATTTTGTGATGACATTTGTTTAGTAAAAGTAATTAATAGTGAAAATGATATCTCATGTCTACAATCAGATTTAAATATGATTTATAACTATTGTGTTGAGAATTCATTAACATTAAATCCAGACAAATCAGAACACATGAGAATATCATTGAAACATTGTGTAACAAATAATTCATATGAAATCAATGGTAAAACTGTTAAATCTGTTGAACAACACAAACACATCGGTATAACATATGATAACAAACTTACATTTAATTTACACATCGATTCAATTGTAAATAAAGCAATTAAAAAATTTTCAATGTTAAAAATAATATGTAATAAAATTAACGGAAAAGCATTTTTAAAATTGTATATAACGTATATATTACCTATTCTTGAATTTTCTAACCTATCATTTATTCCTAATATTACACAAACAAAATGTATTGAAAAAGTTCAGAGAAAGGTTACAAAATATATTTGCTTTAAATTAGGTTATAATGATATGTCTTATGAAAATAGATTACAATTTTTACAAATTTTTACACTTGAAAAAAGACGAAATATTCAGATTTTAAAATATGTTTTTAAACTTAAAACGAAATCATTTAAAGTATATAACAAATGGTATAATGAATTGAGTTTTTATGAAAATTCACGACATGGTACTTTTGTTAAAATACCTAATATTAGAATCAATTTAATTAGAAAAGAGTTTTTTATTAATTGTATAAAATTATTTAACGAATTACCCAAAGATATTAGATGTGAAAATAATTTTACTAAATATGCAAATAAATTAAACGACTATTTGTAATACTCATGTATTTTTTAAAACAAGTTTTTAAATAAAGAATTATTATTATTATTATTTTAAACACATATAATACACATATTTTCCATTTACTCTAATCTTTTAATTAAAAAATTATTTTATCTAAAATTATTGTTATTGTAATATTTTATTTACTATTTAATATTATCAATTAATTGAAATAATGCAAAGTTTATATTTATATTTTATACTGTACTGTACTGTACTTTACTGTACTTTATATAAATTATACTGTACTGAATACACAAATCAACTATTTTTTCCAATTAATACAAATCAAAGCAAATTATAACTTATGTAAATATTTAGATATCTAATCGCAAACTTTTCCATTACTTGTATAAGTTATACAGTATAACAAACAAGTAATTAATAAAACAAAATTTAAATAATAATTTGTGGATATTATGCGTTAACTTTACGGTTGTAACTTTACTACAAATGTGTAGTAAATATTAGGTAAAATTAATTGTTAACTTACATAACAAATGGAAAGTTTTTTAATTGTACCGATTGAAATCTAAAAGTATGAGCCTAACATGATTTAATTGTTAAATAAATATAAAATATAGATTATAAATAATAAAATTTATTGAATTAAAACTTTTAAAACAGGTTTACAGTAACAGAATATACCTAAAGATAGCGGTAGTGTTTAGTTAACAACAATTTTTGTTAAATTTAATTGTTTGTCAACTTTAATAAAACATAAAACTAGAAATATATGAATCAAGAAATATCGAAATATGAAAGTGACCATGTTTACTATGTTAGTAATGTGTTTAATTTATTTTCTATCATTTATTCTCAATAGTTAAATTATTAACCACATATTGCTTAATTAAAAGTTTAAGTAATAAAATAAATCAATAATTAGCATGTGTGTTTATTTTACAATAGATATTTAAATTACTATAATTATTTAATCATATAAATAAACATTGGATTAAGTGCTTTTTGTTATTTGATTTTTGTATACATAAATTGAAAGTTACAATTATTTTAACTAATAAATGACATTTAACTATATTTAGAGTTCATATTTAAGAAATTAATAAAAATTTATTACTTATAATGACAATTAATAATAGAAAAGGAATTTTCAAAATTCATTTCCTTTAAAAGGCGTTTTCATAAAAAAATATACAAAACTTTTCTACAAAACAAACATTAATTTAAATAAATGAATGAATGAATTATATCCATGTATGACATCATATGAATTGTAATTTACAATCAAATATTTATACAATATATTATACCAAAGATGAAGACCGGGTTTATAAATATTAATTTAAATACAAGTTATACAACCGATTATGTATTCAATATTTACATAAGTTATAATTTGCTTTGATTTGTATTAATTGATAATATTAAATAGTAAA